CCGGTATAATTTTCGATGGCGTCAATACCATGAGTGGCAGGTGGCTGAATTTTGGGGAGACTTGCCACGGTCTCCAACCCTCCTCCTTTCTCATCCGGGCTTGGAACGGGCCATGGCGGAGTTCAATCCGGTATTAAACACTAAAAAAATTATATATCTTAGCATCGGAATCAAATTCTAGCAATATGGTAGTAAATGCATATCATCGGGTTTTATTAATTTTAAAGAAAAAGATTTTATTATTTCAACTTATTTATCAAGTGCTACAGTTGGCAGACACAAGTCCAGATCGAAGAAGTGAAACGACAGTTAAGGGGCAGAAAAAATGCAAAGTATTATTTTTGAGCACGATCATTAAAAAAGTAGCATGTAATGGAAGCATCAAACCAGTTCCTGCAGTCGCAATATTTTTTTTATAAAGTTAGCAAAGACAAGCAAAAGTTCCTTAATCAACGAGCTGAAGCATCAAATATGGTGCTCGGAAGACCGTATTTTGCTGCCATTCAATTCGATAATTAAATAGGCACACCTAAAGGCATGATGATATGAGCTCACAGCATTCTCATATCCACAGTATAAAGTTATCCTTCACATAATTTGCCAAATTTCTCGATTGTAAAACATTCTTGGACGGCAGCTTATAAAACGACGTTTATGAAATGAAGCCCATTCTTTAGTGCTAGAGAGAAAATGAGTTGTCTTAGTCATTTTCGGTATTCATAAATCTTCAATAAATGTCCTGGTGCAGGTTTCACGTCACGAATTCCATCATCATTGCATTGCTAGCCTGAACCATCTGTTTTGGTTCGTTGACGGGAACGATGCTCAGGCATATCGCATAAGTCAATCCCAAAAGTCCAAATTATGGTATGAGAGACAGTCCATGAACATATGCTAAGCAATTGCAAGCTGACTAAAATAACATATATTTGAATTTTACAATGCATCTGCGGGGACCCACAACCTCAGAAGATCTTATGAGCAGGCCACAGGTTCATGGTTTTACTGTACGTGGATGCAGAACCACATCATTGTGTTCAAACAACAATACGTTCGAAGTAAAAACAAAAACTACCTTCATTGCCATAAGTCTGTTTGATTCCCTGTTGGACAATAGATTTCCAAAAGCTTTCGACAAAATTCTATATTCTGAGGTTATTACCGATTTTACTCAAACAAATATCATCACCGCATCCTGCAGGTTTTACTACCTCATTGGTCCGGCGATGTGCGGTTCATATTGAAGCTCTCCTACAGATTGTCATTTCAAACCTTTCGCTTACTCAGTGATATTGCACACCGTTATTGTAGTCCGATCCATTCGTTTGTCTTCATAATTCCTCTTGTTATTCTGAACATACCTTATTCCAAATGGTGCTGCGTATTTCTGGTTTATGAACAGCTAGGGATCCATTGATAGCACCCATCATTAGTATTGAAAGCACACCATGACCGAAAACTTCGCTTTTCAAGAAAAGGCCTGTTTTTTGGGAAGAACATATGTAGCACTACAAAAGTGCTCCAAGTCAACTTCTTTATTTTGTTCTTTTCACACGGGGGGTCTCCAGCTGTAAACATAAGTTGTTCCAGACAAGTACAGTTCTCACCTCATTATCCATCACATTCTAAAGGTCGACGGGTCATCTTTTTGTTAAATATGACCTGACCGTTTGAAGGTTGATTTTCAGTCCTACATTGATGCTGATGTCCTGCAGCTTTCTTTTCTTTTCTGGAGTTCTTCTGATGATCTTGACAAAATCAGAGTATCGCCGCAAATCGTCTTTAAGGAATGCCCAACTGTCCTCAGCCCTTGATTTGTAAAACGCTGTATTTTCTTGCTTAGAAAACTCTCCTGCGGCTGTTGTGAATAACTTCTACGATATTGCTGCGCCCTGTCAAATCCTTAATTCGGTTTTAAATTTATTTGTGTTTTAAATAAGTCTTTTACTAGCATTCACATACATGTAGATCATGACGATGATTCATCTGTGTATTTCTTATATTTCTCGGGTCCTCAGGACGCGTAACACAGATAGATATCTGAGGAATGAGTCGAGAGACTGTTCGGCATCGACAAATTTCGAACAGAGTGGGAGGTGATACTGTTGCTTATCTCACCTGATGTGCTGTCTGAAGGTGATTTGTCGAACTGAATCTAGTTTGACAGCATAAAATTAAAATTACTCTGTCTGAAGGTAGGTGCGATTATGCAGAGTGACAATCCTTCCGTACCGTTTTGAACCGATGATGATTCGTCATTGAGTAAAAAGCTGGTAATTTGCTGTCTCTACCGTATCATTGCTTAGACTTGAGCTTGAACCGACGTCCCACCGTAAAGTTAAAACTTAGGCCTGCCAATCACAGCGTTGAGGCTTAAATTTAAAGGTAAGCTATCGGTAATGCAGTAAAAACGGCAGTCATTCAATCAGAGCAACTGATTCGCTTTTCAGTTCAATGCCGTAATGCCACTCTGAGTGGCCTGCATGAATCATAAACACCATTTGTAAACCAGGCTGACAAAAAAAATAAATATATATATGTGGCGTCTGTTCATCACAATATTTTACATTTTGATATTAGGAGAGTTTTACTGTAGCAATAATGGAAAGAGCTTCATTACATGTGAATGTGATGTGCCGGTTATCTAACAACTGGAACCTGCTGCAATCTCCAATGCCCATGGATGTCTGATAGCCAGATGAGTTGTTACAATAAATTGCAGATGGTACTACAATTTGGGAATCATACTGCACAGGCACCAAGTGTATAGACTTATTAACCCTCTTAATAATGAATTACACTTAATTGCAACCACTTACTTCTCTAAGTGATTCCAGGCAAACGTTCAACAATCTTGCTTTAGGGTTAATTGCTGTATGCAAATTGCACTCAGTGCTGATTATGATTAGGAACACGCGATATGACGGCAATCGAAGCTTCGATGTCGGGCCTCATGAACTTTAATGACCTTTTAAGGCAATTAAGGTTTTGTCACAAAAATAACCGTTGCTTTGTCACTAGTCTAATCATATGTTGAATCTAAGCGGACAAACGTATTAATTGATGTAGGATCTCCGCTACTGAATTTGTCCGCATTACCTGAATGTTAGTTCCTTTTACTTTTTTAGCTCAGGCAACGAGTTCGACGAGTTGGTTAGACCCGTTGGAACCAGCGAAGTCGAGGATGACCTATTCAGTGGAAAACTTCAGCACGCCTCTTGCGAAAGCCGAGACAGGCCTTCGATGCCTTACTCAAATCTCTCAGACACCGAGGAAGAGTCGCTCGCACCGGTGCAGCCTTCGGCTGCTGCACTGTCCACATCTTCACGGGTAATACATTTGGCACCTTTGTATATCTTGCACGGTTTGACCGTTTGAAAAGATCTAACACGCGGCAAATCAAAGTGAAAAATGGTAATAATCGAAGCATTGAATTTTTCTGAAGCTGAATCTAAAATTAAACCGAACGTCTTACCAATTCAAAATATCGGCATGTTCTGTGAAGAAGCAACGCGAGTGACAGACGAAGTCATTGTTTTGATGCAAATGAATTTCTGGTCGACTTTAGGCTGACAGCCAGATCAATCTGTGTGCGGCGTTGAACCTCAATCAGATTATCGAAAACCTGGAAGAGTTTGTATTCCATCCGGCGCCAAATGATATAACAATCAAGTGCAGAATCACGAGGGACAAGCGCGGTATCGATCGTAATTTTTTTCCGACGTACTTTCTGCACCTGGACAAAGATGAGAGTAAAAGGGTAGCCGTACACAACCAAAACGAAGACACTGTTGACACCGAATGTTGATAAAACATGTTTTAGATATTTTTACTGGCCGGCAGGAAACGAAAAAAAAGCAGAACCTCAAATTACCTTATTTCGGTGGATCCAACAGACCTGAGCAGAAACTGTGTTTCATACATGGGCAAGCTGAGGTTAGTGTAATGACTTTCCAACTATCAACAAGTCAATTCGTCTTATCTTGTTTTATAACCAAAATTTTGCTGTTGCATTAACTTTTAATTTGTTAATGCATATTGAAATTGATACAACCGTTGACTGTTGCCAATGTGAAATTGAAATTCAACAACATAAGCATTAATCCAAACGACAGAAGATGGAATATTTAGCTGACCATCTTTAGGTATAAATGAAAACGAAACATACTTCGGCCATCAGGATTGACTGTACGGATATTTCTCTCAAACTGAAGCTCTATACCGTTGGAGAGTGATTTTTAGCCCAAAAGTACCATTTTTTCTTAGATGACCCCTACTAGGTTCATCACTACACTTCGAGCATTAGCAGTACACATATTATGCCTCGCTTTGCTGTGAAATCGCTCATCTTAGTGATTTTTTACTCTCCATAAAAAGACAAAATTACATCATGCAGTAATAACTTACTGCAAGAAGGTACACATTAAATTTAACAAATCTTCTATGCACAAACGCTTCATTACAACATTATCTCCGCAGACTGTTGCATTTATCCTGGTTTTTGACTCTGGCATACGTTTTGTTATTATTTTCATAGATTACTTTGCATCAATGTGAATCTTTGACTCAGCTACACATGAGGCTATTTAGCTAACAGGTTATTGCAGTAATAACTACCAAGCCCGGTGGGTTGTTGAGCTTTCATACTATAGATGAACTTGTCCTCATCATTGAATGAGTTCCTGTCATAATACATGCGACACATCATGTCGCAACCAATCTATAGTACCAGAGAAGGACTAAAAGTCCATTTCCTGTTCGACGTGCTTGTACAAATTTATACCATCTCACCCGGATTTTCATGTCTTGACCATTCAAGTGTCTCTGGGCATTTCAGATGATTGTGTCGTCTTCGCTCAAGATGCAACAGAGCTGTAATAAAAGATCCAGCAGTTGAAAGAAGAACCTCGTTTACCAGTTATGCGTACGCGGCCGTCAAGTGAGCCGCATGAACTTGCTATACCCGGAAATCAGCAGATGAAGGAAGGTGACATGGGACTATTTTACTCGTATTGAAATATCGCTATGCGATGGTGAGCTGCCCAGGCAGGCGAAAAGGGCTGGTCAACCGTCCCACCCGCCTAGATCAATGAATTTTAGCCTGCGACTAAAGCTGAAGGGGATGGGGGGGGGCGGACGAACTGACG